GAAAAATGTGGCAAAAAAATTCAGCACAGGAAATGCTTATTACTAATGTCTTAAAGCATCTGTCTTGTCAAATCATTTTGACTTTTTGCCTTGTACACATTCAATCTCAGTAGTTGCATTCACATGCAACCAAATAATCAGATCAGACTGATGGCTCAATCGGGCTGAAAAGCCTTAATTCGATCTGAAATTTCGATTGTATTGGAAGGGGTGGTGTAGACCTGAAATAATCAGATCAATAGGAAAAAGTTAAGCATTTAAACACTTAAATCCAAGCTTTTTCCTCAATCAGAGTTTAAAAAATGTCTTGCGCATATGAACAGTGGTGTGCGTTTATTTATGTCTTACAAGCTGATCAGTGGAGGAGACTAAATATTTACTAAATATTTGATAAAAAAAAGCTCTTCTGATATGTCATCAAGACAAAAATGGCAAATTATGTTACTGCAGCGGCATTATTGTACTGTTTTGAATCGCATTGCTAAGTTTAGGGTTTATATTAACAGAACTTTCAGAATGTGAAATCTGAATAAATTAATTTGGGCCTGGCTTGACAGACAGGGTTTAGATTAAGGCAGGATTAGGCCTTAGTTCATTTAGAACATTTAAGTAGCTTTTATAAACGTGCCTTAGAAAAAAAACATTACTGGTGTGTATCTTGAGACAAAACGATGGGACTGACATATTTTAAGATCTGTCAATGTCAGTTGCAAAACAACTCAAACATGCATTTTAGTCTAGGACTAGCTTAAGCCTGGTCTGTGAAACCGGGGGTTGGTATGGTGAACTCACTTTTTCCTCTTCCTTTTTTCTCTCTCTCTCAAGGGGAGTGATGGCGGCGACGGAGTGTTACATCGTCCACGAGATCTACAACGGCGAGAATGCACAGGAGCAGTTCGAATACGAGCTGGAACAGGCTCTGGAGGCGCAGTACCGCTACATCGTGATCGAACCCACGCGCATCGGGGACGAGACAGCCCGCTGGGTGGCCGTGGGAAATTGCCTGCACAAATCCGCCGTTCTGGCCGGGACCGCATGCCTCCTGACGCCGCTCGCCCTTCCCGCCGACTACTCCCGTTACGTGGCGCTGCCGGCTGGCGCTCTGAGCCTGGCCTGCGCCGCACTCTACGGCATCTCTTGGCAGTTCGACCCCTGCTGCAAGTACCAGGTAGAGTACGACAGTCAGAAGCTCTCGCGGCTGCCCCTGCACACGCTCACCTCCTCTACACCCGTGGTTCTGGTTCGACGGGACGACGTGCACAGAAAGAGACTGCACAACACGATAGCGTTGGCGGCCCTGGCGTACTGTGCCAAGAGGATCTATGAATTGTACGCTGTATGAGCGCTATGCCACATCCACACACGCATACAGATACTGACATACACACACAAAACACGCGGCAAGGAGGTGAGAAGCACTACTAAACATCCGACACTGGCAGATACACACGTACACACCAAACAATAACATACGGACGGACCGACAGTGAGAGTGATCGGAAACAAAAGGATACGCGGCGCTTTCTTTGTCACAATTTTTCATTTCAACTGGTCAAGGATTGGACAGATTGATGGATGTATGAGAGGAGCGGTTGGGGGGGAGCTTATAGTTCTGAATGAATCTTCCTCTTTTCTCTGTACTTTAAAAGTGATATCACCAGTGCACTTGAGCCCCCTTTCCCACTTCTTCCCTGCACCTCTCCAGCCCCTTCCTCGTCCCACGACCCTCCCCCAACGGTCACCTGCCACCCACATGGAGCTTCCGCACCCGGGTAGCGACCTGTCGGACCGAACGTGTGGTGGACAGACAGACGTGTTTTAAGAATGACCTTTGAATCCTCTCTTTTCTCCCTCTGTGTAGTTTTACTGTACCCTGCCTTTGGTGCGTCACCTTTTCATTAAACAGTAGGAGATTTAACCTCACTGGTATCTCTGACGACCTTTATTTTGACCCTCAAGGGCTTGGATTGTTTCTTATTGCACATCTGAGTTGTAGCCTTCATGCAGATCTCACAGTCAATGTATTTTTCAAGTCACGGTTTGTAATGGATCAGTATAAATCCGGATCTTCTGACGAAGTTATGAAAAATAAATATAAAAGAAAAGTAAATGTTAACTCCTCTGAAAGAGATAGTTCACCCCAAAATTGAAGTTTTGTCATTTACTCATGTTGTTTTAGATCTATATGCTGTTACTTAATTATTCATTTTTGATTATAACTATTCCTTGAATTTGCAGGCAAACCAGTGCAATTAAATGAAATTTACTTCAATATAACAAGCAGTTATTCACAGCCTATTTGCAGAGAAATTGTGAGAAATATAGTTTTCAAATGATATTTTGTATTAATGGCACCATGTTAAATGGTGTTTATGCTGTTTTTACAAATGCATCTGGCCTGTGGAGCTTAAATGAGTCATCTGATGTTTTATTTTAATATTGTAGTGTATAATATCTAAAATGGGAAAATCAAAGAGAACATGGTAAGGCTTAATTGGCTCAGTCTTTATTGTATGTGGGTTTTAAGTGTCATTTCTGCTCCGTAGAATTTGAAAATTATGATATGAAAAAAAAAAAGGGTTTCTCCAATTCTGCAGTTGGTCAACACTTCACTTTTAGGAGTAAGTGCTTATCATTCTTACAGCCACATTAGAAAAGCATAATAGCATCTTGTGTTTTTGACATTTCAGATAGATGTCCAGTGTCTGAATCTTAAATATGGCATTTTTTGTCCTTTTGACACATTCTTCAGGTTTACCAGAATTGCACAGATATATACTGATGAGCCAAAACATGATCAGTCACAGGGGAAGAAAATATCTAATATATTGATCATCTCCTAACAAGGGCACATATTATGGTCTGGGTAAATTAGATTGTAAGCAAACAATCAGTTCTTGTAATCAACGTGTTGGGGGCAGGAATAAAGATCTGAGTGACTTTGGCAAGGTTACTGGGTCAGAGTTTCTTTGAAACCACCAGGTTTGTGGGTTGCTCCCGGTCAGCAGTGGTCAGAGGAGGGACAAACCACAAACCGGCGACAGGATGTTGGGCACCCAAGGCTAATCGATGCACAAGGGCAATGAAGGCTATCCAGTCTGGTCCGAGCCAACAAAACGTCTACAGTGGCACAAGTCACAAAATTTGAATGATCACTTGGAGTAGTGTAAGAAGGTCACTTGGTCTGATGAATCCCATTTTCTTTTACATTACTTGGGTGGCTATGTATGCATGCACTGTTTACCAGGGGAAGTGATGGCAGCAGGAAGTAAATTAAAGTAAATGATGCCGATAAGACAGTTGATGGAGTGATTCTCTGAGCAATGTTCTGCTGGGAAACCCTGGGTCCAGCAATTCATGTGGACGTAAATTTAACACATGCCACCTACCTAGGCAGTCGTGGCCTAATGGTTAGAGAGTGAGACTGGTAACCCGAAGGTTGCAGGTTTTTATTCTCCATACTGGCAGGAAATGACTGAGATGTCTTGAGCAAGGTTCCTAACCCCCAATCACTCCCGGGCAAAAATGGCTGCCCATTGCTCTGGGTGGGACGTGGTGAACCAACAAGTTCAATCCATGGCAGCTTCACCTTGTAACCTACAGGACTTGAAGGATCTTCTGTGCCAGATACCACTGGACACCTTCAAGGGTCTTGTAGAGTCTGCGCCTCAGAGGGTTGGTGCTGTTTTGGCAGAGGACCAACATCATATTAGACCGGAGCTCATAATGTTTTGGCTCAGTGTATAATACTATATATAATTCTATATCACAAAGATATTATACTGTAGTTCATGATGGTAATGTTCACAGGTTAGAAGGTGAGTCCATATGTTGTTTTAAAAAATCTATTTGAAAATAAGCTTATTCAGAAAGAGTGAACATGAAACTAAAACTGTTACATATCTCATTTAATTAGTGCAGGATTTTAAGGCTTTCTTAAAGAAAAAAGAAAAACTTTCAGTGCAGAGGAGTTGTACAGGTTCTTAATGGGTTTACTAGTTTTCAAAGGAAACCAGGTCTGAAACTGAGAATGCCTAACTCATCTTAAGGAATCTGAAAGGTAAACATGTGTAAAAAGAATTTGATAAAATACCATATATTTCATGCACGTGGACATCTTTTTAAATTGCCGAGTTTGGAGCTGTATGTGAATCGGTGGAAACGAAAGAATGAATATGGCAGTAAATTTTCTTCTGTTTAGACTGACTGAACACCATTTAAATAGTATTGCCTTGACAAAACTGTCTGGTGAGTTTCCTCCATCAACCATATTTGGAGACAAAAATCACCTGGGCTGGCACTGCAAACACCATATTTTTTTGCATAGCATAGTAAAGCATAGCAAGGTGCAAATATAGTTTTAATTTGGACCAACATCATGGTCTCTTGAGGAAGAAAAATCCCTTTATATGTCAATTAATGCACAATTTAGAATGAGTTTTTTCTCCAAAGCACAACTGTCATGCACATCCACCTCCCAGGATCTTATTGAGAGCGGCATATGTGTGGTGCATCACTATAAAAACGAAAATGAGTCATTAGCATCTGTCATAACCAGATTATCATGATACGGTCCTTGCAGACTGTAGTGACGACACTCCACATCCATTTCTATTTTTTTTTTTTTTTTGCTATAGAGACCTATTTGGGACAAGAGGCAGTTGAAAACTTCATCAAAACAAAAATCATGTTCAGATTTCAACTTCATGTTGGCATAAGGGGCACAGGAACATCATGATGATAATTAATTGAATATTAAGATTTATAACTTTAGGCAATTCAAGGGGACCTTCAACAGGGTGCCTGGAGTGGAAAATTGAGTTCATAATAAATTAGGGTTAATAAATGGTCAATATATTAACAAACCATTTAATCCATTACAATATAAATAGAATACATCTAAGAATAGAAAATAATCTAGTTCTTGTGTGATAAATGTTTGCTCTGCTTATCTAAAGACTGGTCATCTGGCTGTTGTGTTTTTCCCATAACAGGGATGATTCAATTCAATTTGAAATATTTATTAAATACATTCCATGAGTATTCACCTTTAGACATACAAATGAAAGTTTTTGCCGATGAAATCTTCAGAGAAAAGATGCAAAGATTTTTTCTAATACTGTTTTGTCTTATTCTTCTTTCACTCTCTGTTCTTTCACGGCCGGTGAAGCCATCAGTCTGAAGTAGAGAGCAGGCCAGAGTGTGCGCAGATAGACGGCTGCAGTCGGCAGCGGCCCAGCCAACACCACGTCTTTCTGTTTGTGACAGACAGCCTTCAGAACGGCACGTGCCACGTCCACTGGATCCCACCCCTTAGCTGTGGTTTTGTCCATTACTTCAGACCCAAAAGAACAAAACAAAAAGAAACGCTTCTTAATAGAGTGAGAATAAAAGAGAGTTTGGTTGACAAGAACAGCATTCTCTCACCTCCATATTGAGAGCCGTCCCCCGTGACTGCATTGATGGACAGGTTTGTTCTGATGTAGCCCGGGCTGATGACAGACACCTGCAGGCCGAACCTGTCGACCTCTGCCCTCAAACAGTCAAAGTAGGCTTGCGTCGCATGCTTAGATGCAGCATCTGATTAAAAGCATTACAGAGATGCAACCTGATCACTTGTAATACTACCTTTTTAAGGCCGAGTTCAGAAAATGTAAGGAATAAATTGAAGGGGAAACCAATAAGTCCATATGTTTTCTAAATGTAAATGTCTAGGGAGAAACACAATGAGTACCGTAGTATTAACAACACTTCAAAGTTTGAAATGACAACTTCCAACAGATATCCATTACTTTTTAATCCATAAAAAAAAACCTTGAATAGCTCTGCTCCCAACCACTAGAATATGGAAACATCTTTTACTGTACCTTCTGATCACAGTGCAAAAAAGCGATGTTCTTCCTCAGTATTTTTGTTTTGTTTTCCAGTGCAAATGCCTAAATATTCTTACATCAAGATGCATTTACTGGAGATAAAAAATGAAGTTTTGTTTTCTGTGAAATTGGTCAAAATTAAATAAGTTTATTATTAAAACAAGAACACGAACATCTGCCAATGGGCTCAGAAAAATGTCAACTTAATTCAAAGAGAAGTTTTGATAACTCATTGACAGATGTTTATTCTTCTTTTAACCCCTTAACCACAATAATGAAATACCCAAAATGAAACGGCTGCAGGTTTTGAAACCTTGGTTCTACAGGCCTAATATCCTGGTCTTGTTTGAAAGCAGACAATTGACAGTTTCTTGTCTCATAGTAGTACAGGAACAGTTTAAGAGAATCTCATAAATGCCTACCATTTGTTATGATATAATATCAAGAAAAAAATAAATTAAAACTAGGATTTGAAAGGCTTGAAACATTTGAAATAAAGATAAATGTTTTTCCAGGTTCTGGTTTAAGTTTGAGGATAATTCAATAATAACCAACATGTGCCTTATGTACGACTCCTGTATGTCACTGCAATCGTCTTTACCTTGATCACAAAAGTCATCCATCAAAACTTTACTTGGTGGTTTGCTTTATCCAACCCAGATGCAGTTTGCTATCATAATGCTCATGTTTTGACCTGTCATTCAGTCTGTATTTCATGCAACACTGGCATGGCTCAGAAACATCTGAATATGAGAGAGGGTGTTTTCTGAAGTGAATAGTTTTTGAAAACTGGAAGTGAGTCTCTCCGCCATCTCAGATGTAATCGGCCGGGGTTCTGGACTGACTGCTTGAATGCATTCGCTTACTGGATCCTTCTTTGGACAGCAAACTTTCTCGGAGTTTAATGCATGCTTTTTTAGATGCTAAAAAACAACCATGTCTCTTGTCAAAAAAACTGCTTCTTTTTGCCTTTTAAACTAATATTTCCGCTATAAGCCTAATGTATTGATTGAATAACCGACTTCAGAGGTCGAATCTTAAAGTTTTTAGCTTTCAAATGTAAGCTATATAGTTTATGAAGATTAAAGGGCTACGCATAAACTCACTTAATTTTGTTACATTTTTCAAGGCTTCATTTTACATTTGCATTTTACATATGTATGTATGAATGAATGCATCTTGATTTAAAGATGTTTACAGGGTTCCTACAGGTTTCTTCAAGTTAAATTCAAGCCTTTTTAAGACCATTTATATAAAAAATTAATACCTATTTCACGTCCCTACCAGCAAAGAAAAAACAAAATCCTTCAACTTGTGTTAATTTATTTTTCAAATGTGGAATTGGTAAAAGATGATAAGCCAAGCAGGTGTGAAAAATAAAAACATTTCAGTAGGCCACAAGAAAGTTTGCCGAACAATGTTAAGTTGTGTTTTAACATTAGCTAGCTACTTATTCTATGCTGGGAATATGGGGAACTGAGAGACCCCTGAACAATAAACATCGAAAATAATAATAATAATCATGGTTGACAAATGAAACTTTTGAGGAAAAATACAATACGGAGAAGTTACATACAGCAGTGTTAATTTTGACAGCAAATTTTGATTTAGTTTTAGTCTCAGTCTTTTGACTAAAAATATGACAAACTAATTTTAGTCATATTTTAGTCATCTGAATTGTTTTAGTTTTAGTCTATTTTTAGTTGACGAAATACAATAAGATTTTAGTGATTTTAGATTTTAGTTTTTTAAGATTTTCGAAATCTACTGTAAACTAAATCTACAGTAGATTTAGTCGACTAAAATATAATGGGTTTAGGTAAATTGTAATGTGTTAATTTAGAATTTCTCTAAAATTTCCAAACCCATATACTCCCGGAGAAAACATATATTAACCTATTAATATGAATGATTTTTAAGTTTCAACAAGCAATACAGATACAGATTGAACTACTGTGACTTAAAAAAATATATATCTTAAAATTAAATAAAACCACTTTTCCTAAAGGCAAACACAGTCTTCTTTTCAATGAATGATATGCATTCTTTATAACAACTTACATACTTAATTCTTTATTCTTTCAAGCAGACAATTATTTGTATGAATATAATTAATCCTTATTAAAGCTATAAACAAACAGTAAAGGCTTTTCTCTTTTTCTTTTGTTGCTTGAACAAAATTAATGACACAGACCGCATTATGTTTATTGCCAGTCACTTTAAGACATCGGCTCATGTCCAATGACATGCGGATACGATTGCACTGATGCACACCCGATACAACTGTTTAAGACATAACCGACATAGTTTACATGAATACTCTCCAGACCGGACATTTAGACATAATGTTGTGTGTATTTGTCCATTCAGACACGAAAGAGAGCTCAGTGCAGTACCCGCGCGCTGTATAGGTGTATATGTGCATGGCTCCACGCTTCGGGTTGGTGCGTGGTTGGTTTACATTTTTAACATTTTATGAGACCGCGGGGTAGATCAGCACGTTACAGTACAAATGTGTGCATCTACCACACACGCAGGACATCAGTTCTGACTGGATCGCTTCCCAGATCGACACTATCTAACATTTTCATCTAGTTTTTATTCGTTGACGAAAATGTCAATAGATTTTCGTCATAGTTTTTGTCATTCAAAACTAGGTTTTATTTAGGTAGCGTCTCGTTTTCGTCAGTGAAAAATGCCGTTGAAGAAAAGTTATTATTTTAGTCAATGAAATTAACACTGACATACAACACAATTTTTAAGACCCAGACATCAAAATTCAAGACTTTTTAAAGACTTTTTAAGGTAATATTTCCAAATTGATAAATTCAATGCTTTTAAGGCTTTTTAAGACCCCGCGGGAACCCTGGTTTAGATATTTGTATTGGAATACGGAGCAAAAATACCGAGGAAGATATTCTTCTTTTTTTTTTTTTGCAATACATGCAACATTTAATGCCATTACTTTATGAATTTAAGACTTTCTATACTGATTTAAGACCTTTTTCAAGGCCTTAATTTGTGTAAGGGAAAATTAAGACTTTTAAAGACACGCAGAAACCCATTCATGAAGAAAAATATTTGAATCCCCTCATCAATGAAGAAGTTTTATTGCAGCGTAGTGAAGCACCTTGGTTTCAACAGAGTCGGAATGAACCCCGAGCATCCTAATCTCAGTCCTTTTATCCCGTGACAGTTTACCAGCCCTAATGAAAATGAAATTGCTCCTGTTGTAACAGCTGTGGTCTGTATGCTAATGAAGTTGAGATGGTCTGAGATGGTTCTGAGGGTCCCTCACCTGCTCCCATTTTACAGTCGATGACCATTTGCTCACGATGTGTAATCAGAAACAATAAAACAGTTGACTTTGTTCAACTCTATGATAATTAAGCCATTTTGGGGAATGAGCTTGTTCTAACACCTATCTTGGAGTGGAATCTACGTCAAGGCAGACATTGTAATTTCTTACATCTGAATACCAATTTTTTGTGTATGTATACTCACATGCAGATCTGTACGGTATTGAAATCTTTCCCTGCACACTGCTGATGACAACAATATGTCCACTTCGTCTATCCACCATTGAAGGCAGAATGGCTGGACAGGACAAAAAAAAATAACATGATATTTATATTATATTTCATTTCATTTCATTTTTGATAATAAAGTGATATTAGGATATAATGTGATGTATAATGTGATATATACTGAATTATATGTATTTTATCTTCATGTATAATATAATATAATAATATTTATAATATATTTCACATTTAATATCATCTTTAAATATATATATATACAAACCTTTCAAAAGTAGTGGTCAGTAATTTATTTTTTTATATGAAACGTGTTCTTTTGGACTTTCAATTCATTGAATAATCTTGAAAAAGGTTTTTATTAAAATTTCCACAAAGCATTAAGCAGCACAAGTGTTTTCAACATTGATAATAATAAGAAATGTTTCTTGAGAATTAAATCATCGTATTAGACTGATTTCTGAAAATACAGCTTTGGCATCACAGGAATAAATGACCTTTTAAGATACATTATTTTTTATCAAATAAATGCAGCCTCAATGAGCATAAGACTTCTTTGATTTTTTTTTTTAAAGGGATACTCCACCCAAAAATGAAAATTCTGTCATCATTTACTCACCCTCAAGTTGTTGCAAACCTGTATGAGTTTCTTTCTTCTGCTGAACTCAAAGGAAGATATTTTGAAGAACGATTATCCCTTTAAGATATTTTTCTAACCCCAAACTTTAAACTATATAATCATTTCACTGATATCTTTCTTTGACTCCTATTCACTCACCTTGTGTAAGAGCAACAGGACCGAAGTAGTTGGTCTCCATGACATCTCGCTGAACTGAGACGTGGGTGTCCAGGATGTTGCCACGGTAACTAATGCCTGCATTGTTGATGAGGACATCAACGTGACCATGACACTTCAAAATATCCTTGGCGGCGCTGGAAACCAGGGATGTGCTGGAGAGGTCAAAGGTGACAGTGCAGGGAGTGTAAGTCTGAAAAAGAAAGTAATAAATAAACATAGTTAAGAGATTGGATATGTGTGCACACCTACATTTTTGTCTAGTGTAAATAAACAACACCTTAGCACCCCCCTGAACTCACTGTATAAGCATAATTACATTTTTAAACAGCCTTAAAACAGTCAAAAAGGAGAATAAGAGATTTGCTTGAAGGTTTTCACCTGTATTTTTCCATTATTATTTTTAGTTCTCAGCTCCTCAACGACCTCTTGTAGTCTCTTTTGGTCCCGTCCGCAAAGGATCAGTCGGGCCCCCGCCGCGTGGAAGACCCGTGCACACTCTGAGGGTGAAAAAACAGATTAAGATATTAAACAAGCAATAAAGTAATATCCACAGTCAAATGGCATTGATAAGACATTATGATAAGCATTATAAGAGAGTTTATGTTCATGTAACCTTTGCCCAGGCCTGAGCTGGCTCCAGTGATCACCACCACTTTATCCTGTAGATTCTGCTTGTGTCTCAGTCTCTGCATCACTTTCAGCAAAATCAGCAGCCCGACAGTCCCAGCAGCAAGAGGCCCAACACCTAAACCTAACACACGCTCCATGTGTCTGTACACATATGCATATATTAATTTACATTTATAAAAAACTCAACTCACCCAGCATCTTTATCTAGAAGTAACATGGCAGCATTATGTGAGACTGACCTTGGCTTGAGGTAAATGTGGATATATTTTACATGCTATTTACAGAACTGAACTGACAAAACTAAATTGTAAACAATATTTGAAAGAAAAACATAGAATTGTTTTATTGTAAATGTATTTAATAGGAGGCTATTTTATAACTCACATATTTTGATCTCACATTAAGATACTACATGGAATAATGCAGACTGCATGCAGGACCTTTTAAAATTAACTAGTGAACCCCTCAAAAGATTAAAGTTAGCATGAAACGGAGGTTGCAATACTCTTTTCTTCCATAAGCCCCTTTCACACAGAGATTCCGGAAAATACACGGATAAAGCGACCCGGGATTTGACCCGGGTTCGTTTGATTTTGGTTCATTCACTGCCAGTGATTTTCCGGAATAAGAGAGTGCGTTCACACACAACCCGTAAAAATCCCCTTAAAGACACGTGACATCGATGTGACATGTAATGTCTCAGCAGCGTGTATAGTTTGCTTATGAGCTGCGATTTCTCTCTGGAAAAACCACAGTTGTGCAATTTTTTCTGTGATTCGATCATAAACTAGCGCATTACGTACCGTTTCACTAGCCTGCTTTCACTTCACTTCAGCGTCATCATTACGACACGGCATTGGTTACGGCTTTTGTTCACACAGCGCACGTTCCGGGACTGATCCCGGCATCAGTCCCGGTTTGCGTTCACACCGAAGGCGTTCGGCAATTTCCCCGCGCTGTGTGAAAGGGGCTTTATTGTGAAGAGAACAGATGCAGTTTCGAGGGGGAGGGAAGGTTCATGTTTTTGATTAAAGATTACAAGGGCATATGAATCTTTTAAAAAATAACGATGTGTTATTATTATATGTTTATTCAGAGCATTTGACTGCATATTGTTTTGTAAACGAGGTACAGTGTAAAGGACTTTCTGAAATATGAAGCAGCCAACTGTTTCGGATCTCACGGCAGCCCTATCAGAAACCGTAAGTTAACAATTTCATAATGCTTTGTCTGTAAAGGACGGTTTTAAATGTATATCGTTTTCAAAAAACGTACTCACGTGCAATGTATGCGTTCCTATGCAATGACTTTAGCCAATCATAACAGTGGCCGTTTACTGACAATCCTTAAAGGAGCCGCTGCTTAAAAACGGATAATTTCAGACAAAGTTTTAGTCATTCTAAAGGGGTCTTCTACGGAGCCCCACACATGACATGCAGAAAAAAATAGTAGGCTAAATCACGCGCACAATTAACTAACTCGTTCCCTCAATTTATAAACTGTGCACAAGATTTACTAATTTGTTCCATCGATTTGCTAAATCGTTCGTAGGATTTATAAATTAGAGGGAACGAATTAGTAAATTCGACGTTTAGCCTACAATTTTTTCCCTGCATGTCATGTGCGGGGCTCCGTAGAAAATAATCATTCTTCCACATATGCAAAAAAACTTTAACATTGTACGTGAACCTCAAGCATATTAAAATAATTAAAGATCCATGTCATGACCCCTTTGTTTAGAATTACTAAAACTGAAATAAAAATAAAGCTAAACTGAAATGTTAAATACTAAAAATTGACAAAAGCACATAAAAAAATTACTAAAACTTTCAAATTAAAATAAAAAATAATAGCTATTTAAACATTAACATTTACTTTAATAATACTAAAATAACTCTTAGTCATCAGCGGTAAAGTGTTAAGAATAATTTTAGTGATTGAAAACCCCTTAGTCTTTTTCAATAATACAGAGCCACTTTTTCAATGATGTGATGTGTAGTAGCAGTTTAGTAACTAATCCACAGCAACTATCTAGTAAGTCACGTATAAACGTTTTAGTGCGCTATGCAACCGAATTCATTTTCACAAAACATACCTATTCATTTCTAACGTCTCAGTATCTCATAATAATCATTCTCTCTAAAGGCTGTTGTATCAACATGCAATGTTCAGTAAATATACAAAATAAACCTGCATGGATAATGACATTACCTACCGAAAGTTGAGACCCTTATGATTGAATGGAGAATCCGGAAGTCAACAACATCACGTGATTTTGGCCATAACGCCCATAGATATCATAACGCCCTCTACCGAATCCAGCAACAAGGTACAGACACCAGGATTATAGTTTACTTAAAATTGCTCTCTCTCTATATATATATATGTATATCTTTCAATTTCAACAAGTTCAAGGCAACATTCCTAATGTTCAACAAAATAACTAAAACTTTAAAAAAATAAAATGGAAAATATTAAAATCAAAAACTATAATAGTATATCAAATATCACTGACACAAATGGGTTTGTTGTAGCTCTATTTATACACATTGGGTTTAAAACCCCATTTTAACAACACAGAACTCTTTAAAACATAGGAGAGGAGCTCCTAAATGCCCACGTGGCATGTTAAACAACAACAACAAAAAACACTGTCTCAGTGAGTTATCAATAAATAATCCAAATGACAATAATTTACAATATGTTACAAAAGCAGTAAATACTGGGGTCTGTTATTGTCTATTTACATCTGTGCAAACACTCATATGAACACACACACACACACGCATGCACACGCGCACACACAAAACACACACACACGCACGCACGCACGCCTGCACACACAAAAGAAAGTCTCACATAAGAAAATTCAGTTTCAGAATCTACCACTTATTGGCTTCATATTCATTCGACAGGAAATATAAATCCTAGTGTTTTGGGGAAAATAGCATAATAAATTGAAGGGGAAAATGTTCAATCTCACTTTTGATGTAACTACACTGCATTTTTGCTATCAGTCATTTTGTTTAGTGTGTGTTAGATATTCAGTCCTTGTAACAATCTCACAAAAAGAAGCCCTTGTCCTTTTTAGTAGTGTGGCATTCACCAACTAAAAACATTCAAATGATTAAAAGAAACCAGAATCTGAGGTCTCAGACACTTTTGTGTGCAGATGCACTCCTATGGCTTTAGAGGGTTTTGCACAAATGAGTTGTGTACAATAGAAAGAAACAACAAAAACACATACAGTCCACGGCTCCACTTACAGATGCATGCACATGTAAGACATTAGAGACAGATATACAGATGAGAAGACTATATTTGTTCAGATATGGCAGGTCTTATTTTCTCTGTACATGAGGTTGCACTGTAAACTGGAGTTTTTAAGTGTCCTGGGTGTGGCTCATGACACAATAGCCACAGAATAATCAAAACACGCACTCTCACGAACGCACACTCTCTCTCTCTCTCTCTCTCTCACACACACACACACACACACACACACGCACACAAACACAAACACGAGCCCAAAGGCTGTTGTGGTGTTGTGGACCCTGCCAGTCTATTGCACTTCCTACAGATGAACCACTCTCTGGTTAACATTCTTCTGTCCAAAATGAAAGGGGCGTGGCAGTGAAAGACTCCGCCCAGTGCATCAGTCCCCTGGAGGAGGTGGGAGGGTCGGTTCTGTGACAGAGAGCTCCTGTGCGAGGTCATTGAAGCGGGCGATGTAGTCGACGCTGCTCTCGCTCATCATACAGGCTAGCTGGGTATCCACCTGTAGCAAGAAAACAGCCTATCAGCACATGTCCAAATGCTTTTTGGGGCCACAGCAAGGGCTGCACAATTAATCAAAATAAAACCGTAATCGCAGAATGGCTTAATGTGATTGTGGAACTGCAGAGGCAGCAATTTAATTAATAATTACAGATGAAATTAATATAAAACTCTTTTAAAGATGACTATGGATGCCACATTTAATGCTCATTATGGCCGTACGATTAATCGATATAGATTTTCGATTTCGGCTAACAACGATTTTGGAAACAAGATAATCGAGGTAAAATGATTAGTGATTGAAAACCCCATAGTCTTTTTCGATAATAAAAGTCTTTTTCCGCATTCAGTCCAGCGCACCTTCCTTTCCTTCACAGCAGTGCACATTCGGACCTCCCTAAAAGCCCAAACTTAACATCCAAATTAACCAAATAAGTGAGTGTTGCAAAATGCAGTCTGCTGTTGCTAAACTGCGGGAAAAGCGTTCAATAATACTGTTCCCCAGGAGGCTTTCTGTGCGCGCGCTCTGAGATGGAGATGAACGCGGATAAGCAAATGGGCTTCGGATACGTGGTTAAATACGTATACACAAAAATGTCAAAATGCCTTTTTGGAGAGTATTCACATAAACACAGTGGATTATGTAAGGAATAATTAACTCCGTGCCGTTAAATTATTAGAAAAATAATGCACACCCGAGGTGGTAATGAGGCCACGACACGAAGTGTTATTTTTCTAACGGCCCAGAGTCAATTATTCTCGCTTCTACTACGGTTACCACACCCCAAAACATTGTTCAGATGATGTATTTCAAGATGTTTGTCAGGTTTTTGCCCTTGAAACGCTCTTGTGTGTAGGACTAATTTCTTAAGCATCTCTCATCCCAAGCCTCCATTGCTAATTACAAAACGTCATTTTAGAGCTAGTAACGGAGACTTGAGCCACTGATAGCAGACTAATGCAGTTATTAATGCCATTTAGAGAAAGAGCGCTAGAGAGAAAGAGAGAGCGAGTGAGAGTGTGAATTACCTCAGTCTGTGCGTCTCTCAACAGTGTTCGGTACCAGCGTCTACTAATAGCAAAACTATGTTTGTCTGGACCTCGTGTACGATACGTCATGTACCAGCAGCCATATCACCCTGTACCCCAAGACTGGTTGCCCACTGAAGCTAAGCAGGGCTGAGCCTGGTCAGTACCTGGATGGGAGACCTCCTGAGAAAAACCAGGTTGCTGCTGGAAGAGGTGTTAGTGAGGCCAGCAGGGGGCGCTCACCCTGTGGTCTGTGTGGGTCCTAACGCCCCAGTGTAGTGACGGGGACACTATACTTTCAAAGAGCACCGTCCTTCGGATGAGACGTTAAACCGAGGTCTTGACTCTCCGTGGTCATTAAAAATCCCAGGATGTCCTTCGAAAAAGAGTAGGGGTGTAACTGGCCAAATTTGCTCCTTGCCCTCTGTCCATCATGGCCTCCTAATCATCCCTATAATATATACTATACTTCATCACTCTGTCTCCTCTCCACTAGGGCTGGACCCGAATATTCGAGTATTCGTTCGGTGGGTTGGTATTCGATTTGAAAATGTAACATTCGAATATTCGTTTTTTTGTTTGTTTTTTTTCGCACCTGGCATCCCTGAAACGGTTCTCATTCGCGCTTGAATATGTTTTACACTATAAAATCTGGTGAAATATAATACTTAACATATAACTTCGTTATAGCTACTTATAGCTACCTAATAAATATATTTTTGTTAATGTGTGTTTTATATCGTGCAGTGTCCGTTCTTGGAGCATATAAGCTCTGCTCGCGTGAGGCGCGCGCGAAAGTTAAAAGTTGATTAATTCTGAACTTGTCGCGTCTCGCCTGTCTATCTATATTGCACCAAATACGACACTGCACTCCTTGTGAAGTCGTTTGGAAGTTGTTCTCTTACATTTTACATCGAACTTACATTTTACATCGTTCCCTTACATTTTAGATCGAACGGTTCTCGAAATAATCAAAATGCAAACGGACAACCAGATATATAGAGATTCCGAAGCTTCGAATATTCGATGTTCATTACTACCGAAGCTTCGAAGCTCAAAAAATGGTATTCAGACCAGCCCTACTCTCCACCAGTAAGCTGGTGTGTGGTGGGCGTTCTGGCGCAATATGGCTGCCGTCGCATCATCCAGGTGGATGCTGCACATTGGTGGTGGTTGAGGAGATTTCCCCCTTTCCATATGTGAGGCGCTATGAGGTCCCAGAAAAAGTGCTATATAAATGTAACGAATTATTATTATTATTATTATGTAAGTTAGCTTTTTAAGTTGCTAAACTATTTACTGATAAAATTTTCAGAGCAGCGCTGACAACACGTTTCTGTGTGAGTGTGTGTCCGTACTGTATGTGTGCGTTTGAGTGGGAGAGTGCGCGAGAAAGAGATATGTGATTTTCCATAATAACTAATAAATGCATAATAAACTTAATTTTGTGGCTAAAAACTTGGAAAATATTTTTCCTTTTATCCTTTTGTTTACTATATTTATTTGCTTGGTCAGTGTCGTTGTGGGTTTTGGTTATTTTGCTGTTGTAGGCTGTTTGAAATAACCTTAATAAGACCTTTGAAATAACTGAACTCATTTGGCGAAGTGATAAGGAACTGTAATGTGGTCAAGACCTGCCTGGAATTACTTTAGGCGTGCGTTTCCCTGAAAATAATTGCACACCTTGGAACGTTTGTTAACCAATCAGAATTAAGCATTCAACAGCCCCGTAGTATAAGTCAAGTAACCGTACACAGTTCAAAAAGAAACCGCGCGTTTAACAGTATATTGGATAAGTGCATTAGCTCTTAAAGTGACAGCAGCCTTATAAACCTGCTGCAGTCTGTCATTAATGATAATCAAACAACAAATGACAAAGGAAAATCACTTCCTGATCTTGACTGAATAACTTAAGTAGCTTTAATAAGGAATAATCTACATTTAATGTGTTCAGTAAGACTATGCAGTGTTATTTTACATTTGATAATTCAGTTTTTTTGTTGTAGGCTATTACTTCTGAATACCACTGTTAGTACATCTTCTTAAAAAATAACACTTTTTTTCATTTGTATTTTCATTCTGTTGTATTTATTGCTCTGTTTGTTTATAATTAGATTCTTTGTTCTAATTGTATTGCTGACTGTTTACTTGTCTTATGTAATTTTTTGAGGACCTTTTTCTTACATTAGTTACCTAACCCAACCTAGTATGTTTTTGCTGAAGAAATTTCACTGATATATAAAATGTATTTTTGCCATAATTGTAGCAGCCCTAACTGGCATACAAACTAATTTCAAACCCCCTAAATTGTTTATCTCCAATTTAAGCCTGGATGCTAAAAAAAAATTTATAGGAACACTTGGCGATAATGTGCCATATCAAATAACATTAAGCTACCAGACAGCAGTTGGGGACTTTCTGTGTTTCCTCTCACCTCAGCTGCATCCGGCAGGCCGCGGGACTGAAAACAATC